CCATCCAGGGAGGGCTGGACAGGAAGGGTGACTTAATGATGGCAGCGCTGATGAAGGGTGATGCTCAGTATGAGAATAACGAGAGGAATGGAGGGAGGATGGAGCAACGGAGATTGCAGCACCCACAGTGGAGATAAAAAGCTGGTACACTTTCGGTGTTGAAATGGGGCGCTCTCCAACCCACAGCAGGAAGAGGATCCATGCCAGGGTCTACACATCTGGCAGCGACTGGTCCCAGGGAGCCCACAGGAGACAGGGCTGAGGAGTGGAGAAGGTTTTGGGGAGGAGAGGGCAGAGACAGGCACAGAGGGAGAAAGAGGCACAGTGCTTAGCGGCTCTGTTGATTCAGAAGACCACCCACCCCTCAGGAGACGCAGGCTCAGAGATTCCTGTGTCTGCAGAGAAGAAAAACACTTGTGGCAATGCCCCAAAGCCAGGATTAACGACAGGAAGGTGCTCCAAGCCGGAGGCTTTAGGATTTGGAGGCTGAGGAGGAAACAGAGCTGGGCGTGCTGCTCTGGCGGAGGGTGACTGCGAGGTGGCGGTGGGACAAGATAAGGCAGCGTGAGTCACCGCTGCATCACGCCGGGTATTTCCAGTGAGCCGGAAGCATTTGTGCCAGGGCTGGGAGCACCTGCGGGAGCGTGCCTTCACATTTCTGCACAAAAGGACACACAGGCTACATGACAGACTAACAACCCCGAACCTCTGACCACACTCCTGCCAAGGGCCCAAAATCCATCAGCACAAATATGGGACGGCTCAAGCTCAGCAAACACCACAAATTCGGACGTTTTACACTCTGACATAATTATATCCCTCCTAGTGTGCTACCATGCCCAGGAATCCAGTAACGAGATTGCAACACCCTTGAAAGCAGCCAGACCGTCCTCTCATGTTGCACAGCGATGTTATCTCCAGCTGCCACCACCCTGAAGCGCAGCTGATAGCACCAGCGCGCGACTCGCCCTCACCGGGACGTGACTGTGCCATGCCCCACAGCTGATGGCAGCGAAGCATCCCTTCGCCAAAGCACGGCCCCTGGGGCTCCTGCTGAGCGAGACCTGGCTGTACTGCTAGGGAGAGAGAAATGGGTCTAAACATTGTAATTTGCATCATTCTAATGACTGTACCTCCAATCTTTGCCAAAACCCCCCCTATCGCACACCCAGCTGACGACCCCAACCTTACGATCCCCAAGAATGATCCTACTTCATCCTCTGGAGACCGCTAGTCCCAAGTCAGCTGGCCACCTCCATCGGGACGTAACCCTCCCTGAGCATGGCCAGCGCCTCTTCACCACACCGCAAGATGCAGATACACCCTTCGTTGCCACATGGATGTGACCACAACCCTCGCTGTGGCCTCAGGGCTCAACCACCGGCCGTACTATGGCTGTGGGGCAGTCCCACGCAGACCAATCCACATCAGAAGCACATCCTCAGCCCATACTCACCTCATGTTCTTCACAGAGCGCCCCCGAAAAGCTGCAATGGGAGACAAGATAGTGGCCATGGCCACAATCCAGAAGTTGAAGAAGGCCACCTTGCAGAAGTAGTGGAAGGTGGCATTGTACTGGTAAAGCAGAAGGGCTACCAAGGGAAGAATGAGCAGCAGCCCATGGAGTAGGACGTCCTCCATCATGCTGTCCCGGTGGGAGGATGCTGGGGATCTCAGCCCGTGGCCCCAGGAGCTGAAGAAGTGGAGCAGGGGATGCCGAGGAACACGGCAGGTGACTCAGGTGTATCAGCAGAGCAGTGTGTGGGCGTTTGGGGCTGGTCCAGGGCAAGGTGCCAGGTATATCTCACCCCATATGGATGCTGGAGGATGGACTGGCTCAGGCAGGAGGCAGGCAACCCCACCAAGGGCGGAGAGTGGTGGTGAGTCAACACCGGGGAGACCCTGGTGTCACCCAAGGTGTCACCGCTGATAAGCGCCCTCCTAAGCTGTTAAAAGCCATTGCAATAACTCCGACTTGATGCAATCAGATCTGTTGCCCATGGGAGAGTCCATGCTCTGGGCATCTCTCCTGGTCACGGGGACCCCAACACAGGGAAAGGGGGATGTCAGCTGCTAGGGACAGTGAACGCTGGTTCTGACCCACGCTCATGTCATGGATCCCTGTTGGCATCGTGCCTAACCCTCAAACCTCACCCTGCAGAGTATCAGATTCGTGGAAAACGTCTTCCCACTGCTGCCCACCTGGGTCTGCAGCAGGCGTGTGGTGTCAGCGCTCCCCATCTCCCCACTCCCCCCAAATCTGGGGCCCTCCAGAGGCCCAGCATCTGTTACCAAGGTGCAGATGATGCCACAGGGCTCTGAGCCCCACCACCACCCCCCAGCTCCCACCTTGGGCTGAAGGAGATGCCAGCCCCTCGCCCCAGTTGGCAGCCAGGGGCTGCATTGCGTTAGGTGTTTGCACGGGGGCAATTAGCAGGGCTGTAATTAGCCTCTCCTTCCGCTCTGTTGCTTTGGGGATGGGCACGCGGGATCCAGGCTAACACTGGGCTGCCCCGCAGAAACTTTTAAAATCAAGTGCTTGTCATTCCAGAGATAACTCCAGCCTGATTTCAGCCGCCAGCATCTCCCAGTTCCGTTCTTCCACATCGCAAGCCCTGCCAGGGACGTCTGCATGCTGCTGCCCAGACCCATCGGTTCACCTCTGACCCTTAGGGCAGGAGCCTGGGAGCAGAGGGGTCCACTCATGCCTTCCCATAACAACCTCAGCAGGGCTCTGGGGCAAACAGTCCCATTATACAGTGCTGGGGAGAGACAACATCACCTGGGTCAAACCCAGCAGCCCTGCCCCTCGTCTGACACCACCTACCTTCAGCAAAACCACATCGCACCTCCCCTACTCCCTTCCCCTCGATGCCCTTGGCTGCTTTTTCCACCCACACCTTCTCCCCGTCCCCACTGAGGTGGGTGGCAAGCCTTTGGGCTCCTGGCTGTGTGATGCTTCCTGTGCTGCTGGCTAAAGGGTACCCCAGTTCAACCAGTGCGACCCAAGGGTTGCGTCCACCACAGGTGTTGCAATCCGCATTGCTTCATCCTCCCATTCCTCTCATTATTCTCATATTCAAGCTAAGATTGAGCCATACCTTGAGCCCACCCTTCCTGTCCACCCCATCCCCAGGTGACTCCTCTCCTCCTTCTTCCCTTTCTGTCTATATGCGTGTGGAAACTTTCATGTATCAGCCCATCAAACTCATCTTGGTTTTTGCATGGTCTCCTTCCATTCTGCTCCTGCTACTCTGCCTGGCGAGTCTCGCAGCCTCTCGGGATGCTTCCCAGCTGGAGATGTGCCTTCATGCCACAACACAAAGCACCTCTTCTGCTCCACATTGAGGAGCTTCTTGTCCAGCTTCAGCCAGAGTCAGGCTGAGCTCTGCTTCAGGGTCAGATCTGCCTGTGCCATAGCAGAGCTCAGTCCTGCTCTCAGGAACGATGATCCTTCCTTTCCTCAGGGACCCCACCAGAAGAGAGACAGAGCGGTCCTCGTGCCCAGTGGGGTCAGAAGGAAGGGATTTAAGGCTCAACTGTCTGGGCACCATCTGTCTGCCTGCTTTGAACTCCAGATGACCACCAGCCCTGAAGTCTTGTCTAGAAGCTCTGCTCTTTAGGCAAAGCCTCCTGATAACTTGCCTGTAACCTCATCGGGGTCAGAGCAGGGCTGTCACCCCTAAGTGGGCTTGGGGAAGTAGCAAAGGCAAAGAACTCCTTCCAGCACCTAAAACATACCTGTGCCCACTTCTTCCTGGTGAGGGAAAACAGCTCCATGATCCCTTCTTTGCAATCTGCTGTTTCCCCCAACCACATCCCCACCAGGAGAAACCCAGTCAGATCCAGCTCTCCTCATGATGAGCTCAGCCAGGACCATCTCAACCCACTTCCCACCCATATACCCACCCCCCAACAGGTGCAGGAGGCTCACAACCCCCCTCACCCCCCCTACCCTCTCCTGCAGCTTGGACGGAGCCCTGCACTCAGGCACAAAGCCAGCAGTCTGGGTAATTAAGGATGGTTAATTAGTGACAGCAGGGTGCTTTCTTAACAAAGCAAATTAATTACAGGCGACATGCTGCATGGAGATCTGAAGGCACTAATGAGGACCAGAACCACCTGGGTTGGCATCATGTGCCACGTCTGTGTCCCCTCACCCATGGGGACACGGCTCATGCCACCAAATCCTCATGGCTTGGCAGAGACAACTTGTCCAGCGCAGATTGGGATGTCACATCTAACCTGCTGGGGATGAGCCCCCTGCAGAGGATGGAGATGAAGCCTGTCCTTGTTTAGGGTCACGATGTCACCTGGGGCTTGGTGACAGGCTTTGTGACACCCATGCAAGATCTTCTGGGGTCAAGGGCTGGAGAAGCGTGGAGCTCAGAGCCTCTCTTCCACTGCGTCGTAGTACTCTGCGGAGAGGAAAAGGGGACCTGAAGGATGTGCAAGGGCCAATCCACCCCACTGAGGGACATGAGGAGAACATGTGCTTACCTGATGCTGGTGGGACGTCAGCTCCCACCGTCCCTGTGGCGCTGGGGGGTGGAGGAGGGGGAACTGTAGCACTGGAGAAAAGCAAGAATGTAAGTGCCAGCCGGGCATTGTCGCTTGTGTCCCAGCTTGGGCTGAAAGTCCCATCACACCAAGAGCCCCATTCTGGGTGGCACAAAGCAGCACTCTCGTTACTCACATCTCCTCATCCTCAGCTAACGAGCCCGTGCCCAGGTACCGCACGGCCGCCTGTCCCCGATCCCACGCCGGGACCAGCCACGCTGGGATAGAAGCAGGACCGGGATAGGGGATGTAGTGATGGTGGAAAACCACAGCATCCTCTTCCTCTTCAGTCTCCAGAGGCACCGCCATCACCTGTGGGGAGGAAAAAAGGAAGGCAGAGCTGTGCAGGGCCCTTTCTGGCAGCTGTCTCCCTGAGGCAGCATTCTTTTCCCCCCACAGAGATAAAATGTTTAATATGATTTTGGTTCTGGATGGCTTTTTAAATGAAAGTGCTTGCAGAGCTCTCCTGCCTAAGGAATAGAGCTTAGCCTTGCTGCTTGGCTGCCGCAGCCCCACACCGTGGCACACAGGGAGGGTCCTGGCTCTTCCCAGCTGGGCTAAATCACCACCCAGCAGCCTGAGTGCAATCTATGCTAGCAGAGCTGGGGGTCAAACCAGCACAAAGAGCCCCAAAACCTCAAGGGGCTGCAGAGCCTGGTCTGAGTTAGACTGAGACCACACAGCTTCTGTGCCCGGACGGGTCCCACGCTGTGCCAAAGCAAGGCATGGTCATCCCGTTCTCCTGAGCAGCTCTGGAAAGGTCCCTTCATCCACTTCTGTGCTCCTTTTGGTCCTTTAGTCCTCTTTTGTCTTATGGTCCCTTTGCTCATCCAGCATCCCTGACCCTTACCTGGGCAGCAGCTGGGGATGTCCCGAAACCGAAGGATGTCAGTGCCGACACGGCCAGGCTGTTCATCACCACCTGGTGCATTTGGGAGTTTTGAATCATCATCAACTCGATTAAATCTGCCAGAGAGTGAGGGGCTCTGCGTCAGAGAGAGATCAGAGCAAGGGCACGAGAAACGCAGCCGTAGGATGAGTGCCTGGGATGGGGTGGCACCGAGGCTTGTCTCAGTGCTCAAGCAGTGGGAGCTAAGCCAGAGTTCCCCCACCCCAATTTAGAAGGCCCATGTGGCATTTAAATTTTATTTTGCTTGGATAAAGCTTAAAAAAAAAAAGCCATACTTCAGCCTTTTCTTCTTTGCAAATGTGATTAAACATCTGGTCTGGCTTGCTGAAGGCTGCTCACAAAAGGTGATTAGTGGTGCTGAAGGCGTCAGACTTTCCACCCATTTGAAGAGAATTGCAGTGCTCAGAGTCTTGGCAAACCTCTGCCTTGGCACCAGGCGGCACAGCCAATGTCCTCGGGGTGTCATCGCGTGGGGAGCACACCAGGGTCAGCTCGGCTTTGAGGAGGCAGGAGCTGGGGCTGGACCATGAGGGCTGATGCCACCTCTGTTCCCAGTAGAAAACCCCTATGGAGCTGGGTCCAGGAGGGCAGCAGGGTGAGGATGCTCAGTGCCTCCTCGGTCCCTGCCTGGCTCCCCACGAGGAGCTGGGACCCAGAGCAGCCGTGCACATACAGGTTAGCATCCCTGTCCCCTTGGCTGGATGCTGAGGTGGCTGCTGAGGACAAGCCAGCTGCAGAAGCTGTGCTGTGTCTGGCTCTGCATCCTCATTAACAATTCCCCGTTTGCTGCAGGCATGAAATTTCCCTGCAAAATGCCTATAAACATGCCGGAGGGGCTGCCTCTGAGATCCTGCTGGCTCTGTGCACCTGCGAGCACTCTGTGAGACCTGCGAGCCTCTGTTAGCCAGAGCCTGGGTAAAAAAAAAAAAGCGGTTTGGCCATCCTTGTGCCCCAGGTGCTGGATCCCAAAATTCTTTCCCAGCTGCAGGGACGGGCTCCCAGGGCACCCATGAGGCAGCTCCAGTGAGGAGTGTTGCAGCACAACCTGGGAGATGGCCAGAGCCCTGAGGAGGGAATGGCCAGCAGCCAGGCATTGAATGTGAAGGAGAAAACACGCCAAGGGCTGGCAACTTCTAATGGATCCCACCCATCCCACAGGACAGGCAGCCAGCCCCCCTGGCTGTGAGTGGCTGGCATCTCTGTTTTCTTTCCACATCAGCACATCCTTTCCTCATTGTATGTTTTAAAAGCAGCTTAACTTTCCCCCCTCCCTGCAAGGCTGCGTGTGTTTGCCCATGGTGTGCCCCAGGAACCACAAGCCCCCGTATCTCTGCTGTCTGCTCCCCGAGTCAGTGCTGGATCCTGAGCTGGGTGAAGTGCCTATAGACAGATGGTCTGTGCTCCTGCTTGCTCCTCCTGTGAGCTCTAGGGCTGGCATGTGTCCCACACTGATCCCACCTAGCACGGCCAAGGAGCCCATATCACCCCAGCTTTGCCTGCTGGTGCTCCACATGCCCACGTGAAATAGAGAACAAAGAGAGGTGGGTTTCAAAATAACAGCCCAAAACCCATTCCCTGGGAGCATCCTGGTGTGGCCAAGGCCAGCCCAGACTTCAAAGCTTGGGGAAATCACCCAAAAATCACACCCTGTGGGGCAAAGCAGCCCTTGAAGTGTGGTCCTGTGAGGCTGCAGAGGGTGAGCACAGCCCCCCTGCCTGTCCCTCATCCTGAAAAGGCTGGGGGAAAAAAGAAGAGGATGAAGTTAAGCTTGTTTTAAGGCTGACCTCTACGTCTACCGTCACGTACCTCCCTGGATGTGCCGGGGTCCGGCAGGGGGACCAAGGGCAGCCGCGGTCCCGGGAAGCTG